AAATATTTTTAAAAGTATAAATACTGATTCAAATATTTTAACATCACATAAATTTAAACCATCAATTGCGTTTAGCGGTAAAGTATAGCCACAGTTTTTGAATTTTTCATACCACAATTCGAATTCGGCCTTAGCGACAGAAAAACTAATTTGTTGCATATCTTTTTCATAAAAGTCAAAAATATTTTTAAAACTTGAAATTTGTTCATCTGTTGGATTATGTCCGGTTGGTAAAAGACATTTAAAACTTGTGAGGAGATTTTTATGTTTCAAAAATCGATCAGAAAGACTATTAAGAAATGAATCGACCCATGGAATAAAAATTGAACGTCTATAGTATTCTTCAATGTTTTCTGATGGTGTATTACATCGCTTAGTTTGGTGTTTTGTTAGTCTAGGTATAGACATAGTCAAGTCTAAATTAGAGGAAACTTCTTGTGCTTCTAAAAATAATTGYTTAAATTCAYTGTCRGCATTACTTCTAAGTCGTCGGAGAATAGACACTACACTTTCTACTTGGTTAACTKCAGTWGAWAGATYTATATCTGTYGTTTGAAGTATTTTACTTATTGGTAAAGTATAAGCTAATAATTTTTCTGAACAGAGTAATGAAATAATAAATGTAGATTGACGAATACCATTTAAAAGTAAAAATGCACCTGATGAAGWGTCTTTACAGTTCCACGATTGAATTTCTTCTAACGCCGCCACTACAGGTAATAAAAGTTGATTGAATACTATTATTGAATCGTGTCGTTCAACCCATCTAGTTGGACATAGTTGAACAAGTTTAGTTTTATTAATATCAGGAACTAAAAGTTGAATTTGATTTTTTAAAACAATCTGACGTTTTGGTGTATTAAAAAACGTGTACACTTTTTCTATAACACCAAAACTATTCCTAATAGGTACTACATCAACAGCATTAGATAAAGCCAAATTTAAGCTGTGTGAAACACAATGTACATAGAGTGCAGTTGGATGTTTTTCTATTATGCGCGCTTGGACGCCTTTAAATTTGCCACTCATCGCTGCAGCCCCATCGTAGCCTTGTCCTCGTAAATAGTTTATATTAATACCACATGAATTCAATGTTGTTAGAAGTACATCTGCTAAATTTTGACCGGAAGTTGATTCTACTGGTACAAATTTTAAAAAATGTTCAACTATTTTAAAATTGTTTACATTGATTGATTCAATATATCTTACACACAATGCGAATTGTTCAATAGAGGAAATATCAGACGTTTCGTCAGCGAGTATAGTAAAACATTTAGCGTTGTTAATTTTAGTTACAAGTTTTGTTAAAATGACTTCATCGCAAGCATCTATTATTTGGTTTTGAATATTCCAACTAATATACGTTGAATTTTTCCCGCAAGTCATTAAATGTTGTTTTAAATTTGTGTCTCCTGAATCAATTCGTGCCCTAAGCAACGCTCGAAAATTACCTTCGTTGCACTCGGGCTCTTTATCTATATTAAACGTTCCGTAATCTCGATGTGCCCTAA